AAACTTCAAACCTATTTCTGTATTACCTTGTTTCTCTAAATTGCAAGAACGCATTATGTACAATAGGCTTTATAATCATTTAGTTTCAAATAATCTTCTGTTTGAAAACAAACAATTTGAGTTTTAAAAAAATCATTCTACGGATTACGCGGTAATTGAGCTTGTAAACCATATATCGGATGCGTTTGATAAAGATTATGATGACACTGTCAATCATGAAATTCTTATAAAAAAATTAGAACTTTATGGGGTAAACAACTTAAACTTACTTTGGTTTAAAAACTACTTGACTAACAGAAAACAATGCATAACCTATGAAACAAATGAAACCAAAAAAAAACTTTGTTGTTTTTTTTTGTTGCGGGGTTCCTCAAGGATCTATTTTAGGACCATTATTGTTTCTAGTGTATATAAATGACTTATTTTTAGCATCTAAAAAAGTATATCTTATATTGTTTGCTGACGATTCCAATCTGTTTTATTCACACAGAGATATAAAAATTAATTTTAAAATTTTTAATGAAGAGTTATCTAAAGTAAATGAATGGTTTATAAGTAACCGCGTTTCACTAAATGTAGATAAAACTAAATTCATCCTGTTCCACAAACCAAATAAAGTTGAAAATATTCCACTTAAACTGCCAAATCTTTTATTCAATAAAACAAATGTAAAAAGGGAATCTATTGTTAACTTTTTAGGCGTAATTCTTGTCATGGAAGTTTCACATCCAATCTATTGAAAGTAAAATCTCTTATAATATTTCCGTACTTTATAAAACAAAACCATTTTTAAACCCAAAAGCTCTAATGAAAATTTATTTTTCATTTACTCACAGGTCTCTTTCTTACTGCAACATTGCATGGGAAAGTACGAGTTACGGAAAACTCAAAAAACTTTATAGTAAACAAAAGCATGCTTGTAGGATTGTATTTGGGGCAAACAGATTTATTATAACAGTTTATTGCGAACCGCTATTAAATCGTCTCAAGGCCTTAAACATTTATAAGCTAAACATTTACCAAACATTACTTTTGATGTTTAAAATGAAACATGAAATATCTCCACTTATATTTCAATCTTGTTTTAGCGAAATATCTCATAAGTATTCAACAAAGTTTTCAGAGGATAACGTTATTGTTCCGAGAATTAATCTAAAAATCAGTTCTTATCGAATTCAATATCGAGGACCTTTTTTATGGAAAAATTTTATTAAAAACTCTATCAAAGAACAAAACTCTTTAGAAAAATTTAAAACAGTTTCTAAAAGAATCTTACTTCAATTAGATTTTAATTCAATAGACTTTAAATATTTTTTTTAAAAGGTAATTTTAAAATAGAAAAAACGCTTCCATTAGCACTAAATATATTTTGTTATATGTATCAAATATATATGTATTAAAATACAAAACTTTCTTTATTTTTAAATTTTTAATATAATTGTCATTTTATTATTTGACAAAAGTTATGTACTATATTTTAGCTTTTAATAAATTAGCTTTTAGTTAATGATTAGAAGTAGCAAGTTTCATTAACGAAACAACCTAATAATTATTTTTAACGATAGACACCGAGAAGGTAAGCCAAGTTGTCTATCAACACAAAACATCACAACAATAATATCACAAAACATACAGACCCTGTGGCACTAAACGCTGCAAATTCACACTACACACTCGCGTGTGGAGTTTTTCTCCAAACCAGTGTGTAGCTATCACTCCTAGACACAAGTGTGGTATTTTGGTATTTTGCACAGTTTTGTGCAAATAACTACACACTTCTGTACAGAAGTCAAGTTAGAAAAAATTAATTTCCACAAAAGTATGTGAAATCACTCCACACTTGTGTCTAAGAGTGATAGCTACACACTAAAATTTGCAGCCCCCTCAAACTGAGGGGAGTTCAAACTTTTCATGGTCATAATTTTTAAATCCTAAAAGAATGTTGCGTGAACTTTAAAATTTATTGATGAATAAAGATTTAGTTAAAAGTAGTATAAAAATTATTTTATTAATTTGTTGCTCTTACGTTTGGGACAGGTGTCGCTAAAATTTTAGAGCTTTTTGTTCCCAGGCTCCAATCGTTGCAAGTTTTTACAAAGCAATATATATATATATATATATATATATATATATATATATATATATATATATATATATATATATATATATATATATATATATATATATGTATATATATATATCATTATAGGTATATATATTATATATATATATGTATATATATATATATATATATATATATATATATATATATATATATATATATATATTTATATTATATATATATAAGGTATATATTATATATATATATATATATATTATATGTATATATGTATATACATATATATATATATATATATATATATATATATATATATATATATATATATATATATATATATATATATATATATATATATAAATATATATATATATATATATATATATATTTATATATTTTTTTTATTTTATTTTATTTGCCGTATAATATTATTTACATCAAGATTTATAATATTATACGGACAGGACTTCAAGAAGTTCGTAATGATCTCATCACGAAGCCCTTAACAAAATTTTATTTTTTTCTTCAATAAAAACATCTATTTATTATATACAATAAATATATACCGAGAATATATAATCACTAAATATGTAATAAATTTGACACTACATACTTCAGAAGTGAAACTCAAAATAAAACATAACAAATCATTACGCAGTATAGCAATTAAATTTTTTTTTTTTTTAAATCAAAAAAAATCAAAAATATTTTTTGTTGAAAAAATGTTTTTTTTAATAGATTTTTTAAAAAAGGAATAGGTCAATTTAGATAAAAAAATAAAATTAGGCCGTACTATTTCATTCCAGAGAAAAGGTCCACGATAAGATATACAAAATTGAGCTTGTTTATTATTGCAAAAAAGTTTTTCTAAAATCTATTATTACGTAGGTTATATTTGTTTTGGGGTTTAATCTTGTAAAGGTTTACGAATACATCGGGGGACATAACTCAATTGTTGTGTGGTAAAGATTTTTTAGCAATTTCAAAGATATTCAAACGCAGCAAATCAAAGTCTATTGTTTCATTAGCCATAATTATATTTAAGACAATATAAACTTGTTAGAAAATGCGCTCGCTGTTTATTTTTTAAAATCTCTGCAATAAGTTTTATCAAAATGTTATATGTTGATATAAGATCCTTGTGTGAAAAGGATTTGAAAAGTGAGAGGTGTCATAATTAAGGTGACCAACTATTCTCATTTACTGAGTTTTGGACTCTTCTTTCACAAACCGTATTCTTTTCAAATCCTGTACTCTGAAAGTACTTCTTTGTATAAATTTGTACTCATTTGTATTTTTAAAACATTTTTTAAGATTATTTCATTTCAAACTCATTAATTAAATATTTAAAACTATTTTGACAGTGGTTTGAATTTCACGCGCGCATATTGCTTGTCGTTTCCAGCACGTCAGAGGACGGGGCAAATACGAGACACAAGTTTGACAGAGATTTAAATTTTGCACGCACTTATGGCTGCCTTTTTCAGCACAATTGGGAGGCCGTATTATGTAACTGGAGAGATAAATAGATACTACAGACCTCTTTTTTCAAACAACGTTAAAATTACATTTGTGAAAAGAGATGGACATATCTTTCTCTTCAATACAAATTTAAACAAAAGAATATATACATACACTACTACTTACAATATTAAAGGCTATATTTAAGCCTATATTATAACTGACAGCTTTGGAAGATTCCAATCCCGGAATAAAAAATGAATTTTTAAAAGAAGTTAAAAATTTTTATAAAATTTGCTATGAATTTATCGAAGAATGGATAATGAACTTTAGAGCATTGAATTGTTTCAAATGGACCCTTAAAAATAGTAAAATTGAATGGAAAGATGTTTCTTCAGCAGTCTAATTTGTAATGAAGGAAGTAAAAGATATTGTTATTAATGAAAATTTTCTCTTTGAAAAAAATCGAAGAGTAAGTTTAGAAGAGACAAAGAATAGGTAGAAATTTTACGGCATTTTAGAGTAGAACATACCCGACAAGAAAATTTTAAAATTTTAATAGAAATTTCTTTATGTTGTCCAGGCACTAATGCTGCTTTTGAAAGGGTATTTTCATTAAGGAATGATTATTGGAGCAGTGAGAAGTTGCAACTTTCTGTAAAAACATTATCTTAACAGTCAAATTTATTATGCAATTTAATATGATCGGATGCGACTACATTATTAGACGAACATCCTCATTTAACAAAAAAAATCCAGTCTGAAGAAAAATATATTTTTAAAAGAAAATAAAGTTTTTATCGTTTTTTTTTCTTTTTTTTTTCACCTATGAAATACTCGCAAAGTGTACTCTTTTTGAACAAAAGATAGTTGGTCTCCTTAAGATAATTAAAAATTAGATTTTTGGGCACCACTTTTTAAACAAATTTCTAATAAACCAATTTGGGTCCCCTAATATTGTCCTAGGCCTAGGCTCTGACGGCAACATTTATAAATAGCAATAGCTTTTCACAAATTTTATTTAAAAAATTTTTGCATGTATGTTTAAATTTTGTCACTATTTTAGATTTTCATTGAATAAATTTCTATATGTTTTTATATAAAATATTTATAATGTATTATTCTACTTTATAGACAACATAGTTATTATGATGTATATACATTAAGATAATAAATGTGTTTTTTTTATACTCAAATACTTATTTTTTTATTTTAAGATTTTTTTAAACACATGTTTTTTAATAATATTTTATACTTAGGAATTACTGACTTTTGCCGAATATTCTTTAGATAAAAATAATATTTTTTTACATTACCTTAATTAAGGTTATAAACAACGGTAATATTTACTCAAATTATTATATTTGTCCCTCAAAGTTAATACAGTTCTATTATACATAAGTATCTCACTAATTCTAACAATAAAAAGTTATTACCATTATTATTATAATTATATTTACTAACCTGTTATTACAAAAATTTATCAAAAATACATTCTGGTTGTTGAAGTCACTTTTACTCATATCAGTATGCAAATAATGTCAACAGTCAGAGTGCACCATGCAAAAATATTCTTGAACATGCTGCAAAATAAAAGATATACATAAGATACATATCATATAGGACCTATTGCCAGGAACTTAACATTTTACCGTTTTTAACTTACTATAACTCAATTATAATAAATAAGCATATGGTTATAATCTATATAATAACTATTATATTTTTTTAGTTATTGCTATTTATGTTAAAGTTATTAAATTAAAATAAAGTTTTATAACTAAAGTTTGAATGCAAAAGTTCATATCAATAACAATTTTATCAGAATTATAAACATAAGTATTATATTACAAGTATTTACAAGTATAGGTATTGTAAGTATAAGTTATTATTATGTATATTATGAAATTATTGTAAATATTGCAAGCGTACAACTTTAAATAAAATCAAAAAATACTAATGAATAAAAAATGAGGTTGATGCATCACAAAAAAGCTATTTTTTTTGCATTTAAACATCTAATTTTATCTTTATTTATATCTGAAGATGGGTAAACTTCATTAACATCAGCCATTTTGCTTGCATAAAATATAGAAAAATCAATGGAAAAGAGTGGCTCTGTAAAAACAATTTAAAAGCTTTTAATTCCCTAAATATTACCTATCCATTACATTTCATTCGCCTGTTAGCTCTTTTTAAATGTTTCTGACTATACCAATATTTTAATTAAACTCAAACCATTTGTTACAATTACTTGCAGAAACATAACTTTATATTTCGATCATTTTAAAAATGCAAACAGTGTCTCAATGGAATATTTACTACATGTTTAATAGTTTTTGGAACATATGTTCAACAAATATGTTAAACTTAGTAAATTTATTTAAAAATTATATATAAAAAAATTCTTTCATAATGGTAATAAATAAATGAAATTTTAAAACAACGTCTTTTTAATGGAGTTTCACAGTGACAAAATACATCAAAAAAAATTTTTTTTTCTTTTACTTACAATGTAAATATAATGTATACAAAAAATATAATGCATAAAAGTTAAACTTTAAATCTTATTTCACGCACAATACGATTTATAAATGGCAACCATCGTGTAAGTTTTGTAATGATTTTTTTAATTATCAGTTTAAACCTTTTGAGAACCTTATGGAAAACCCGTTAAATCCCCAGATTATTCAGCCTTGGTAAAAACCCGATAAAACCCAAACGAGCAAATATGCTTGATTTTATTACCATATAGTTCCCATAAGCCCAGACAAAAACCTTAGTGTACCCGTTTGTTAATGTTGGCTGGGAAGTAGCTTTAAATTCCTTGAAAAGAAACAAAGCAACAGGAGCAGATGAAATTAATGGAAATGTAATTATAAAATGTTTTAATATATTAAAACATGTTCTTTTTAAAGCTTTTAAAGCTTTTATTAACCAAGGAAAATTTGCAGAACAATTAAAAGTTGCTAAAATTACTCCTATTTTTAATATCAGATATATCGAATATTAGCAACTATCGTCCTATCTGTGCTCTTTCGGTATTTTCAAAAATTTTTTAACGAATAATGTCTAACAGAATATAAAAACATCTCAACAAAAATGACTTCCTATATAACAAACAATTTGGCTTTAAAAAAGGTAACTCATTGGAGCATGCAATAATCCAGTTTGTGCATAAAATCTCGAAATCTTTTGAAAAATCACACTACCTGTTAGGTATCTTCATTGACCTATCAAAAGCTTTCGACACTGTAGATCACTATATTTCACTGAAAAAAATTAAATATTATTGAATTAAAGGTACTGCTTAAAATGGTTTAGGAGCTACTTAAAAAAAGAAAACAATTTGTAATTAGTAACGATGGTTATCAAAAAATTATCTTGATATCGTATGCGGTATTCCTCAAGGTTCAATCCTCGGACCCCTACTTTTCCTGATATATATAAATGATTTGAATAAAGCTTCCAACCTTATAAGTATCATGTACGCAGATGATACCAACCTATTTCTCTCAAACAGTAATATATATGAACTCTTTACCACTATGAATAAAGAACTACAACATATATCAAACTGGTTTAAATGTAATAAGCTAACTTTAAATATTAATAAAACCAAATGGACTCTATTCCATTCGTATGCAAAATAGCGATTATTACCAACAAACTTGCCACAATATTATATAGACGAATTTGAAATAAAAAATGATTTCGTTACAAAATTCTTAGGCGTTTATCTCGATGAAAACATCTCCTGGAATCAACATATTTATTATGTTACTATTAAAAAACATTTCAAAAAACATTGGGATTCTATATAAAGCTCGTAACTACCTTATAAAATTGCTTAAGTCAACTTTATTACTCTTTTATCCAAAGTTACATAAACTATGCTAACACTGCTTGGGCGAGTACTGTTAAAAGTAAATTAAAACTTCTTTATCGTCGTCAAAAACATGCGATCTGCATAATTAACTATGCTGATCGTTTTACACATAAAAAACCTATTTTTACTGAAATAAGATTATTAAATCTATTTGAGCTCAATGTATTTAAAGTTTTATGTTTTGTATATTTATGGAGAAATAATTTATCCCCTACCACTTTTAGTAATATTTTCAAACTCAAACCTAACAACAAATACGATATGAGAAACATAAATTTTTTAAATGAGCCGTTTTGTCACATAAAATTTAATTTGCTTATCGTGGACCCCACCTATGGAATAGTATTGTTCTGCGAAATCACGATCAACCAGCATCCTTTTATCTTTTCAAGCTCTATCTTAAAAAATGTACTTTTTCACTTGAAAATATACTTAGATACTTTTGATATTTTAAAAATTGTTATTTGACTTGGGTTTTATTACTTTTTATTTTTGAATTTTACTTTTATTTTTTGCATGTTATACATGTCTTTGTTTTGCATTTATACTTGTCTTTGCATGTTATACTTGTCTTTATTTTGCTTGCTTGTATTTTATAAGGTTCTGACAACAAGTTTACTGCTTTGTTGCAAAAAAAAAAAAAAAAAAAAAAAAAAAAAACACAAACAAAGAAAAAAATAACATAACAAAGAAAGAGATTATTTTTTTTTTATACATTATTTCAAAAAAAAAAAAGGTCCTCGTTTTCCAAAATTTGCCGACTGTCATGACGACATTTGCCGACTGTCTAACCTATATCGAAAGGGTCGACATTTGCCGACTAACTAGTCTAAAAAGGTCCAATTTGCCGACTAAGGGTCCAGTTTGCCAACTAAAAATCATTGATGGAGGAGGAGGGGGGGTGTCACACCTTCCCCCCTTCTCCCTACCACACACACACACCCCTATCGCGCCGGCCTTGAGAATAGTACAGGTAGTTTATAAAAAAATAAGAATCCAAAACATTTGAAATAAGATGGTTAAAATAATATCTCAAAAATGGTTAAAATAATATCTCAAAAATATTTCAATATATTATCCGTAGAAAAAATAATTTTCTTTAACTTGTTTTTAAAAACAGAAAAAAAGAGATAGATGAATCTAAATTAGATTGTACAATTTTATTCCAGATATAAGGTGCTCGATAATCTATACAAACTTGATTAAACTTTGTTTGACAAAAGGGTTCTTTTAAATAGTTATTATTTTGCAAACTATATTTATTCTTTACTTTAAAGGTAAATAGATCTTTAAAAACATGAAATAAGGGGTTATTCATACAACAAAACGTAAAACATAAAATATTGTACAAGTTAAGTTCATAAACATTTAATACATTCATATCTTTAAATAGAGGTTTTGTATTTAAAAAACGATTTAAAAAACATATTATTCGCATTGCATGTTTCTGATGGCGGTAAAGACGTTGCAATTTACTTTTACCTGTACTTCCCCAGGCAATATTTGCATAGTTTATATAGCTATGAATAAATGAGTAGTATAGTTGTTTTAAATTATTTTAAAACAACTATACTACTCTAGTATAGATTTAGATAACTTCTAGCCTAATAGAGGATACCAATACTTTTGTTTGTCGCAACTTTTGTTGGTATATATTTCATTTGATTCATATACACATACATTGTTTAACTTAATCATTTTCGAAAGGAAATTTGAACAGGTTTTCTGTTTTCCCGTTATTTCTTTCAATATTTTCCATATTTGTTTTGAGTCGCTTTTATATTTAGTGATTAAATTAGAGTAATAATTATTTTAGGTTTTTGCGAATTTTTTCAAATAGAGTTTTGTAATTTTTATGTGTAAATTTTTTTCTTTGTTTGTGTTTTTTTTTTTTTTTTTTTTTTCTGTGTAAATTAGCATAAGATTTTTTTTTTTTTTCTTTTTAATTAAATTATCTTCGCTTCCAACAAGGTTGCAAGCAACCACTAATTAGTGTTGGAAGATAATGGAAAAGAAAAGATGAACATTGTAGAGCAAGATAACGATTGACAGACGACTTAAAATATTGCAAATTATATGAATCAGGAAAGCAAGATGAAGGAAGCGAATTCCAAACAACTGATGTTCGAGGAAAAAAACCAGACGAATAAGAGTTTTTGGAGCATTTAGGAACAGTAACAGAAAAAGGATGAGACTTAATTGAATGACGAGTAACACAAGAATAAATTTTAGTAGATGGCACAAGAGACGCTAGCTCTTTAGAGCAGTGCCCATTATAGTATTTGTAGAAAAGAGAAAGAGAAGCAACATTACGATGATGTGACAGAGGTTGAAGGTTGGCTGCAAGAGCAGGTCCAACTATGTTTACAATGCGTTTTTGCACCTTGTCTAAAAAAGAAAGGGCATCATCAGAAGATCCGCCCCAGATATGGCAACAGTATTCCATTCAAGGCCGGATTTGAGATTTATAGAGATAGAGAATAGAATCCAGAGTAAGAAAGTGACGAGCTCGATAAAGAGAAGAAACTTTAGCAGATTTTGATTTTGCAACGGATTTGATTTGGTTTCCAAGAAAGATCAGAAGTAAGAGTTAATTCTAGAAGATGAAGGGTAGGAGACTCATCGAGTCCATTACCAATCATAAATATAGGAAGTTCTAATTTATTGCAATAACGATTGGCCGAAAAAAATTGAGTTTTATCTGAATTAAAATCCACCAGCCACTGCAAGCCCCATGCTGTAGCAGAAGTGAGATCCTTTTCAAGCTCAGATGCTCCCTGCAAGCAATCAGAGGAAGTTGGCTTTTTATCGTAACAAGAATAAAAGGTAGTATCATCAGCGAACAATGCCACCTTAGATGTGAGAATATCTGGAAGATCATTAATGTAAATTAAAAAGAGTATAGAGCCAAGGATTGAACCTTGGGGAACCCCTAAAGTTACAGAATAAGAAGAAGAGTGCTGTCCATCAAGGACAACTTTTATACTACGATTGGAAAGGAAGGATTCAATAATCTCAAAGATGTTTCCATATACACCATAAAAAAAAAGCTTGTGTAGAAAACCAGCATGCCAAACTTTATCAAACGCTTTAGAAATGTCAAGAACAATGGCTTTAATATCTCCACCTTTATCTAATGCGCGATAAAACCTATCGGTTATTACTGATAGCAAATCAGCCTTAGAACGAGAATATCGAAATCCATACTGATGACCAGAAAGTAGGTTATGAGATTCGAGATGAGAGATTAAATGTTTGCAAATTAAAGAATCAAAAACCTTGCTTATGATAGGAAGAAGACTAATGGGACGGTAGTTAGTTGAGTCAGATCGCTCTCCAGAATTTTTAAAAACAAAGATAAGAGATGCTCCTTTCCAGCCGGCTGGAAAACAAGACTCTGATAAACACTTGTTAAATAGTTTTAAAAGGATAGACGACAGCTCCGGAGAACACTTCTGCAAGACTATAACAGGTACGTTGTCCGGGCCGCAAGCTGTAGAATAGTCTAAGCGGGAAATCACTTTAGATACAGAAGCTGGAGTGATACGAATGTCGAGCAATGGATCAACCTGTTTGACGGGTATATCAGGTAGAACGCAACTAATGGCATCAAGAGATGATATTGATGAAAAGTTCTTGGCAAACAATTCAGCTTTGTCTTTAGGTGAGGTGACAAAGTCTGAACCGTACAAAAGAGGTGGAACTACAGACTTGCCCTTATCATTGATACTATTAAAGATTCTCCAGAAGTCACGAGAGCCTAATTTTTGTGATGAAATACGAGGTTTCATGATCTGAGAATAGCGGGCTTTGGCGTTAGACAAAACGATTTTACAATGGTTCCTAGCAGTAATAAACAGACGTCTGTTTTCTGGAAAACTCTTTTGCTGATAGATATGGAAGTAATGGTTTCGATTGGCAATTGCAGCAGCACAATGTGAGGAAAACCATGGAGAAGAGTGAGGCTTGACCTGGAATCGTCGAGAGGGAATAAGGGATTCCATGCCAGCCGGAATCCACGAAGTTATGTAAGAAGCACATTTGTCAACAGGGAGACGAAAGATTTCTACCCAGAGGCCATCACGAAAAAAGTCACGAAAAGAGTCCCAGTCAGCATAAAGGTAGTTGTAAGATGTACGATGATAAGGGGATTCTAATGGTGAAGAAGAATGAGATAATAATTTTAGAAAAACCAAATCATGGTAAAACGCACCTAAGGGTGAGTGTGAAGAAACTGAACACTGAATAGGATCAGAAACAAGACATAAGTCGAGTAGAGAAGGTAAATGATTCTGGTTGTCTGGAAAGCGAGTTGGAAAGTTGAATATTTGAGTTAGGGATTGAGGAAGACAAAAGTTCTGGGCTTTAATGCCTGCAGAGAAACTGACATCAGAGCCAAGCCATTCAGTGTGATGAACATTAAAGTCACCGACAACAACAAAATTGGCTGATGAATAAAGAATGAGGGCTTGGTCAATATAATCAGAAATAACATCAAGAAGAGTGCAGTCTTGGGATGAGGGAGAGCGATATAGAACAAAGAGAAAGGTGATAGAGTGAAGTGGTGCTAAACGAAAGCACATAAAAGAGTAGTCTGTGGATTCAAACCTAGTTTCCCGACAAATGGGTGAATTCTTATAAATGTAAATGCCTAGGCCAAGCATGTGACTATTGGAGTCTTTACAAATTAAAGGAAGATAGTCATCGACATCAAGATCACAAGATGAGACAGCTGAACTCAAATTAGTCTCACAAAGAGCAAGCAGGTCTGGTGAACTTTGCAAGAGATAAGACTCAACAGAAGAAAAGTTACTTCGAAGACCACGAATATTGGTGAATGATGTTTAGCGAACTTGGTGATGACTGTGGTTTTTTGAGTTTTATAGTTTTTGTTTCTTTATTCATTTTTAAATTTGTTAAAGAACTTGACTCAAAACATAGATAGCACTCAGTACACTGTTCTATAGCTCAAGCAATTGCCTCATTTCTACTAATAAACCCTAAGCCGTAACAAAGGGCTCCAACGTGGCCTGAGCAATGCACACCAAAAGTACAAACAGAGACACCATCCATGCGCAACATGGCACTGTTAGTACTCTGATATTTTTCAGCTGTTGATGGAATCAGACTCTCTGAGAGCTACCACAGAGTTCGGGAAACCTGACTACCAGCCGGCCTCAGAACCATAAAACTGAGTTTTAGAGCTGTACCCTCATTTGGAGATAATAGAATGAGTTGCCTAGTCATAAAAACAGAGACACAAGCAAAAACGGATGCATGTAACATCTGCCCAAGATGAGTATTTTTATCGAGAAACCATCTCTAGCCTTTACTCAACCAAGAGCCCCAAGGCAGGGGGTGTTTTATTTCTAAAATGACATATCCTACAAGGCAGCAGGACATGAAGCAGATTGTACTGGAATACATGTTACCAGTAGCAGGATAAACCTGACTTGACAAATTAAATATTTTATGACTTTTAAATATTTTATATACAATTTTTGACTTTTAATTATTTTGACTTTTAAATGTTTTATATACAATTTTTGTTTAATTTTTAAAGATTTTTTAAGACCCTTGGTATTCCAAGGACTACTTTTTTTTTTTTGGTTTTACTACTTTTTTTTTTGTTTTTTTTTTGTTATTTTTTTTAGTTTTTTTCTACTTTTTTTTTTCTACTTTTTTTTGTTTTTTTTTTTCTACTTTTTTTTTGTTTTGTTTTTTTCTACTTTTTTTTTTTTTGGTTTTTGGTTTTAAGGTTATATCGGAAACGGGAAAATTCGCATCGTACACCGAGAAGAGTGTATTAAAGAACTTATTATAGATTACATTTATGTCTTCATTAAAATTTATATGCTTCCAGTTTAACAATGATAATTGATATTTAAATGCTTCAAAATTTTTTTTGTTAAAAATACGTTTTCTTATAGTTTGACTTTTATTAATGTTAGGAGTTGAAATTGTGTTAATTGTTAGAAAAATGGGGAAATGGTCTGATATATCTGATTTTATAATGCCTATTTGAATGTCATTGTCATATATATTTGTTGTTAAAATATTGTCAATAAAGGTGGTTGAGTTTGCTGTTATTCGAGTAGGTCGGTTGATAAGCGGTATTGCTCCTGATACAAATATTTCATCATAAAATTTTTTTATTTTTTCGTTTTCGCTATATCGTAAGCAATCCATATTTAAATCGCCAATTACAAAGTTTTTTTTCTTTTCTCTGTTACCTTTATGAAAAATATTGTGCTTTAAGTATAAGCTTAAATTTTCTGACGCACCACCAGGTGGTCTATAACAACATCTTAGTAGAATGCTTTTGCTTTTTAACTTTTCGCTTTTATTGTTTAAAATTTCAATTTTAACGATTTCTTTATCGCCATCAGAAACGCACAAATCATTCTTAACGTTATGCGCAATGTTTTGTTTTACGTAAATCAGAATTCCTCCACCGCGTTTATTTAATTGTCTTTATAATAAAATTGTTTCAAAATTATTAATTAAGATGGAAATTAGAGTTATTATTATGCTCATTTTGTGAACACCAAGTTTCCGTTAAGCAAATAATATCAAAATAGGTTTTAGTTTCTTCTATAAAATGTCGAAGATTTTCAAAATTTTTGTTCATACTTCTTATATTTATGTGGACGATTCTATTTTTTTTGTTTTCATCGCCATTTTTAAAAAAAAATTCTTAGCATAATGATAAAAACAAACTACTTTTAAGTCATTAAAATAATTAAAATCTGGATCTGTGTTTTCATCAGATCCAATGTATTTGTTTCTAAAGTTAAAAGTAAGTGATTCAGATTCATCCATTTTATATTTTTTGTTGTTATCATTTTTTGTGTGCTGAGTAAGATTTAAAATAATTTCTTATACTTCTAAAGCGCGTGTTACAAGTTTGGTATATATAACTTTAGCAAACTTACCCTAAGCTCGAAGTTCTTTTGCTTTTGTAAATAGAAATCGTCTTTTTTCGATTGTGCGATTGCTATAGTCTTCGTTAAGATATATTTTTTCATTCCATAGCTTTCTTTTTTTATACTCATTTAATACAATTTCTCTATCTTTATAGTTAAGAAACTTTACCACGATAGTTCTTCTTCTTTTTCCAGATACATGCTTCTTCCCAGTCCTGTGTGCTCTTTCGATTGCAATGTTGTTTTTAATTCCGAGTTTCTCCTTTAAGAACTCTTTAACTTTCGATTGGCTATCTTCCCAAGTTTCTTCTTCTCTTTCGTCAAAGCCATCAAAACGAAGATTGTTTCGTCTACTTCTATCTTCTAATTCGGCTAATTTATCTTGAATAATTTCGATGCATTTTAGATTCTCGTTGTCTTTGTTGTAATTATCGAGTTTAACTTTTAGGTCATTTGATTTCTTAACAGTTGGTTCATAATATTCATTCTGGAAATTCATTGCTTTAGTAGCTTCAGCTACTTCTCTCTTCAGTAAAGCATTTTCGTTTTTTAATTTTTCAATTTTGTTGTAAAATTTTTCTTCTAATTTATCAAATCTCTCTCCAAAGGTTTTTAGTAAAGTGCTTTCATGACATTCCAAAAATTCTTTTACAATTGTTAAAGATTTTGCCATTTTTGAATTATTTCAAAATATAAAAACTTATTTTAGCAGCAATAAAAAAACGCGTCTTTTCTCGTGGAAAGCGTGCGCAAAAAAAAAAAAAAAAAAAAAAAAAAAAAAAATTAAAATACTTTTTAGTAAACTTAATATGCTAAATAATTATAAATTAAATCTTTATCATCTTTTTATATTTATCTTTAAACTTGATAAAAAATAGCACCGTTATTATTAAACGGTTGATACTTTTTTCCAATAAGCTAATCTAGGTTTTGCGTTTTTATAAAATGAAAACCCGAATAATTTAAATCAATGTAACCGTGTATATTCATTATCTTATAATAATTTGCGATAGATAAATAATTATTATGTATATTGTATTAGATAACAATTTTTAATATATTATAGCAAAATTTGTTTTAACTTATCACTTTTGAAAACGAATTCGATATTCAATTACTTATTATATTCGGGTCAGGATTTTATTAAAAACGCGAAAATTTAAAGCCTGTCCATGAATTTAAATTTAGTATAAGATAGTAAAAATATATTTTAATTATTCCTTCACATTTAAAGTATAGAGGGGGTGATCTTTTACTGGTATTTTGGTTAACATACTTAAGTTTGGAGTGTGCATAAAGCTTGACACAACTTAAGTTTGGAGTGTGCACAAAGCACAAAGTATCATTTCCGAAGCAAAAATAAAATTCTTTGAACGTCATTGTTTTGAGTTATAAATTGGTTTACATATCCTTATTTTAATGCATTTATTTTAATGCATTACATGTCTTTATTTTAATACATTACTGCTTGAAATTTATTTTAGGTTCTTTCAAACCTCTTATTTCTACAAACTTATAGTCTCCGTGCTGTTTTAAAGGAAATAGTGTAAAATTTCATAAATGATCTCAGTGGCCTTTACTTTGTAATATCAGGAAATGCTAACCACTTAAAGTGGTAGTTGACTCTAAAACGTTATACAGCTTAACAAGTGACCATGGAACAAAAGAAAACTTTATTGAAATGTTAGTAACACAATCAAAATGACTAATTAAAGTTCAAAAAATTTTCAAATTAAATGTAAATAAAGAACCATATTTATATAGTAAAACCCTTACGGAAATGATCTTTTAACCATAATTTAGATTTTTTATCAAGGCTTTCAAAAGCAAAAATTTTGGATTCTTTTTTGTGGAAAATTACGCTTTTATTTTTATTTTTATACAATAGTACCATTTTAACTAATTTCAAAAAGAGGTTTTGATTGTTCTTTTTTTTTTTTTTTAAATAATCACACGTATAGCTTTTGCTTACGCATGCTTTTGTTACGATAGAGTGGTTATAGCTTAGTTTTTTAAGTATTTGTCTCAAAATCATAAGCCTAAATCACAAATTAAAAAACTTGTCTTTTCAGCTTATGATTTTTAGATTAAGCAAGGTTTTTTTTTCAGTTATATTGATTCTTTTATATGAAAGTTTTACCTATACTTTTAATAATTAGCAAACTTGACTAAATCATCGATTTTATGTGACACCCGATGTAATGCGATTGCCTCATTTCAATAACAACACTTTGAAGTTAACAACAGAATTTCCATGTGCTAAATGGTCAAATGTTTGACCAACCATAATTCAGAAACTTTAAATATTAAAGAGGCTTTTTTGTTATTTAATTAGCGTTACTGCATAAAAGATTGAGCGTAATATCACTTTTGAGCGTTGCCTGGTTTTCTCATAAAATCGCTTTTAAGACAATAAGGCCCATTAAAAAAAAAGTATTTAATTCTCATAATTCACATATGTGCATAATCAACTTAGTTAAGTTATAATTTATACTTGATAAGTCTAAAATCTGAATATAGATTCTTTATTTTTTTTTGCCACAAAAGCTAGATTGTCCGAGAAAATTAAAGAACAAAGATTTGTTTTTGTTGATGCAGTTATAAACTGGTCCTTCATTTAATAATTGTCTGTCTTTATTTCTTCTATTCAAAGGATATTGTAATACAAAAAAAATTTAAACCATTAATATAGTATATAATTACCTAACTTTAAAGAAAGGTGTTTTTCTTCAATGTTTCTCTCAAACGGATCAAATTAAAATAGCATTTTTTTAGAGTGCTCCTATTAACTTACGAACTAGGCGACATTTTAAACTATGCAATATATATGCAACGACGCTCAGTGAAGCTATTCAAAAAAAAAAAAAAAAAAAAAAATTTTAAACATAAAACTACAAAAAATATTTTATTTACTTTCTGTATGTCCGTAATTAAATCTGCATATTGGTAATTACAAAGAAAAAAAATGTACTTAATGTGGAACAACCAGTTTTGTTGTTATATTAACCTCTATTATTCAGCTTCATAGAATAAACAATAAAACGGATTATGTGAACTTATTTCAATCAGAAAGATAAACCATCGCTCGTCAATGGGGAACACTATCCTTCCTGGCGTGCCTTACTAGGGTACTACCTATCCATATATGAAAAAAACACATTTTTGCTGAGATATAAAAAAACACCAAACAATACATATAGAATGTAGATGCCTCTGAGACATTTTTATTTCTTTGCGTAATCTTTTTTATATTTTTATTTTAACAATTGGAATCTAGGAGCTAGCTAGCTAGACTTTAAAACATAAAAGTATATGCATACTTTTATGTTTTAAAGTCAACAAAATTTTACACTAATTTAGGCTAACAGATTAAGTTAACTACATTTTTATCTTTTTTGTGTGTGTTTATGTCGCAATAGTTTAAAAAATGTACAATAATTTTTAAACCGCTATACTCTACCTTGAATTATTTCATGAATACTATTTCTCATCGAAAATACATCAAATATTTGCAGTGCCGTGGCTAGTGAGTTAAAATACCTTATTTCTTTCAAAAACCTGTAAGTCAAAAAATCAAAATATAAACTTCTTCCTGAGTATTATTAATATAAAAAAAAAAAATCCTCAAGTTTGCTAAAGCGTCCCCAAATATGTAAATGGGACGCTTTAGCAAACTTGAGGAATTTTTTTTTTATATATTAATAATACTCAGGAAGAAGTTTATATTTTGATTTTTTGACTTTTATTTTGCGGCCCTCTCCCCCTATTTTAATTTCGAGGTTAGGGGTAGGCTAGCCACGGCTCTAAATATGAGTTGTATAGATTTAATACTTCATATGTAATTGAAGATTATTTTTTTTTTAATTCTGTAATTTCAATGATATTTCTAATGTAGCTTTTATTTGTAAATTCGATAGCTTTGTTTATCTCTGTTAGTAACGTATTTGTTTACCTCTATGAGTAACAATTATCTCTGCTAGTATCTTTGTTACAATATATTTGAAAAGAGTTTTATTATTTTACAATACTTTTAAAAAGTATTGTAAAATAGTAAAGTGAAAAGAGTGAGAAAAAAAATCAGGGAATGCTGAAAACCTAACATAAAATTGAAAAACACATTATTACTGAAAGAACCCATCAAGGAAAAAAATGTCGAAGTTAAAAATCAGATCCTTAAAAATTGTTAAAAACATCATTAAAAATCAGATTCATAGTTGTTCAATATTTAAATTATAAAAGCAAAAGCTCAAATAATAAACAAGTACAATCCGGTGAAACTTTGGAACGAGCGATTGTACGTAAATGAGGATTTTGTCATATACACAAATGAGTAATTAAAAAAGAACTAAACGCTAAATATTTATATACTAAAAGTATGCAAAAGTAAGTTTACAACAAATAAATCACACGCAACTTTTGAAAATGATTCCTAAAATATTTCAACAAAAATCGAATAAAACCAATCTTAAAATGGAATGAAATTACCGAAATCCCTTTTAATATTTGTTACACTTTTAATATTTACCCTTAAGCCTTTGAGTCGAAAAGACGTGTTTTTGTTTAAGCGTAAGTTTTAAGGAAATTTAAATTTTTTTTTGTCTCCTTTTTCCACCACAGAACTTCTTTCTCTACTTATTACTGCCTCTTATTTGCTTCATAATTACTTTTCTATTACATTTTAGACACGAATATATATGTAATAATAATATATATGTAATATTAAAAAATAAGTAATAATAAAATATATAGTAATATAACGTGTGTAAAATACAGTTTTTGTTGTACTCCGCATACCTATATTAAATATAATTCTACAATTTATACATATCTACAGGGCCGTTAGAACAAAAACTATATTGGGAGGGGGGGCAGCACTACCCCCAAAGAGTTTTAAGGACCTTTTTTTATGGAATTTTTTTAGTCAATTTCTTCTTTATAATAACTTATTTACTTGAAAAATTATTGGGGAACCAATGCCCCTGCTGTTCACCCGGTTGCTACGCTTGGTTCACGAACAAATCGTCGACAACTACAACGAGGCAGTCAAACGCCTTATTCCCTCTAATTTATCCCTTATGAGAAGAAAAAAGAGCCCTGGAACACGCCCAAAGTTCGAGAAGCAGTCAGACTGAAACGCTACCATTAGGCTAAATACTGAGCTTCAGGTATATGGACACATGACACAAACCGAATCGAGTATAAGGTCTCAAGCAAGAATGTTATCGTCTGGGCGTTTAGGCAGCAGTGGCAAACTATGAGAAAGACATCGCAAGCGGGTTTAATGCCGACCCAAAACCCCTACACAACTACGTAAAGCATCAACAGCAACTCCAGGACATCTTCCGATCACTTGAAGATAAAAAACAGAAAAGTAATAGTAAACATCCATAGTAATTACTTTCAATCAGTTTTTGCTTTAGAACCCGCCGATGACCTAATGCCCACTTTCGACAAGCGAGTTAACGCCGTATGTGATATGAACGAGTCGTATATCACGTACACATAAGTCCAACGCAGACTCG